GGAGATCGTAAAAGACATTGTACTCAGTTTAATTCGATGCCGTTGTCCAAATCAGCAAAAAAACGACCGGCCGAACAACCTGGTTAACTAGGGACACAAATAGACAGTTACGAAAGAAAAACAGAACATGGAGGATATTCGGGAAACAGAGTCACCAGTGAAAATCGAAAACTCACGAAGTCAACGAATTGCAGTCAAAAAATGCATCCGTCAGGCACGGAAGGAGTATAGATCCAGGATCATCCGTCAGGCTGAACAGAAGCCCGAGATCTTATTTTACTATATTAAGAGCAGACTGAAAATGAGGGACCCGGTCGCAGTATTAAAGGACGATAATGGTGTAAAAACTGTTGAAAACAGCGAGAAAGCCGAACATTTGGAACGATACTTTGCCTTGGTCCTCACTAGGGAAAGGAAGTTTCGTATTCGTAGCGTCAACAATGCTCTTGAGACCACTGGTTCCGTACTTAACTCCAAACTCTTCCCGCTATCTGTCTTGGACAGGGAGTTTCAAAATCTCGAAGAAGTGAAGTCCTCGGGTGCGGACATTATACTGGCCAAATTCTAGAAAAAATCGGCGAGCAATCAATTTAAACCACTAACACACATCTTCCCTTCGTCATTCGAATTCGGGAGGCTGCCATCGAATGGGAGGCAGATATTATCTTCCCGATATACGAGGATGAGTGTTCGCACTAATGCTTATAATTATCGGTCTGTTAGTCCCACCTGCATTTGCTGTAAAATAGAAGAAGCCATAGTTTATAAAGTAACAATGAAGATCCTGGAGCAGAAATACTCGCTCTCAGCGCTGCAGCACGGCCTCAGGCAAAAACTGCTCGTGCCTTTCCTGTTTACTGCTCTCAACTGAGCAGAAGACTCGCGCACTGGACGAGGATGGTAGGGTCGGTAGAAAGCGATCGACAGCGTTCCACACAAACTTCTAATCTACAAACTGTCTGAAATTATATTCAGGGGAAAGCTTCTGACATGGATAGCAGATTTTCTGAATTGGAGATCACAAACCGTGTGTGTCCAGGCCTCGAGGCAACTCATACCCCCTTCTTAGTGATGTTCCCCAGGGCTCAGTCTTAGGGCCGCTGCCATTCCTAATTTACATTTACGACTGCGTCGACGACCTGGGATGCAACGCCGTCATGTTTGCTGACGATGTCAAGCTGTGGCGAGCCATCAGATCTGACGCGGACAGGAACGCGCCTCAAGAGTGTCTCAACCGGCTCAGCAGTTGGTCAGCTCGTTGGCTCCTCAATTTGGGTGAGGATCTGAATTTGTGGTCCTGAGTATCGTTTCTGTAGGAGGTCAAAAAGAAGTGCATTCAAAAGCCAATATCCTGGCGAGTACGAAGTGTTATAACGCTATGCTCCATGATAATCAGTTTAACAACATCACTTAAGTAATCCTTCCTAATCATTAAAGCATTCCAGAGTTTTCGCCTACATTTTATGAGATGGGTCTCGCACTATATATGCCTTGGCAATGTGAGAAACTCGTGGATCTAATCCACCTCGTTGCTAGTGAGAACGAAGACAGACACAAGTGAAGTTTTGATGTTTGTTTGAAAAAATTTCCCAGAAGTAGTCAGCCCATGGATGTCGTCTTCCATTTCTCTTACTCTTGTGGCTTCAACTCTAAGGTCGTTTAGTTAAAAATCCACCGTTTCTTGTCAAATCATTTTCGCCGATAGAAGTATACTTTATTTTCTCCTATCTAGAACGTTTAACTCAATATATTAGGGTTAATAAGCATTTTATTAGTCGAGATAGAATTCCACTGCAACACAGAGTTTCCACTCATTGGCAAACGTACAGCCAGCACATAATTCTACTCATCTGTCATTTGCCTCTGAGGCAGATTCCTCACCAGGCGTCAACCAAATGTTCCGCATATCTGCGTCGGCCCGAGTTCCATCTAGCTCTTCACCTGAGCACATTATCACTGAGTCTGTTGAGACGTGCCACTTTACAACACCTCCAAGAAGCGATGATTACTCAAAGGCTGCTCCCAAGTTTACCAGGAAACTTGACCGTAACAGTAAAGATGATCGAATCCCAGAAGCACAATCCACCTGCAGGAATCGGAATAATAAATTAGTAAATAAACCGGGGTCGAACCTATCACGTTTCCGTGCCAAGGCTAGCAAGACTGACTTACTGGTAAGATCGAATAAGCCAGATAATAGCCCAGGGCGATCTTCACCTAATCCTTTTCCGAATTCTCAACTTAAGGAAGACACCACAGTTGTGGCACCAACTAACAGATCAGCATGTTATATGCAGGTATACAATTTTGCTGATAGATTTCCCAATCCCACAGCTGGCCTTAAACCATAAATAATAAAGCTTTTTCATGATGCTAGCAGTTTCTATAATCCATCTAGTCCCATTTCCAGCATAAATGCTCAACATTATCAAAATCCTGTTCTTATGCTTCCTATCTTTCCAAATCTACGACATGGCCTTCCTCTTCATGGGTCCTGTCCAAATGTGTTTCCGTGCAATGCTGTCTCTATAGTTAGTACTAATTTTCCCACAAATATCAGACCACAGCAACCTTGTTCTCCATCCTTTACTTCTTCCCTACGGCTTAAATTTCCATCACCGAATCTTCCTTTGTTTATACGTTGTAATGAGCATAACCTACATGTTAGGAATACGCTCAGTACAGTTTCTCTCAACGTAAGATCAGTGGTGCAGCAAAAGATGGCACAAATAAGGAGTGTGTCCTTTGAGTCTGACTCAGATGTTTTGTGAATCAGAGAATCTTGGGCTCACTCTCTAATTTCACTTTCGGCACCCAATATAGATAGCCTCAGCTTAAACCGTCAGGATCGTATCAAACGACGCGGCGGTGGTTGCCCTCTTTGCATCAAAGCCACACTTGAACAGTCGCCTTACAAACTGAACATTTCTCCCTTCTTTGGAAATATTTGTTTCGCTTCGGTAATCCTTCCGCAAAATAGGAAAGCCTTGGTCGGATGTGTATTCAATTCTCCTTGTTACTTCGGAAATGAAAGCCAACTCTGTGAGCTCTTCGAAAAAATCGCCGAGACTTCATTCGATGTCAAGATAATTCTAAGAGACTTTAATTTGCCAGACAGTGATTGGCGCATAAGTACTTCCTACTCTATATTCCAGAAGATTCCAGACACTATTCACTTTTTGAACATGTCTCAACTAGTCCACTCTTCGACCAGAAACGATAGTATACTAGATTTGGTTTCTACTTATGGCATTCTCCTTTATCTATGGATTTCCATCGTGACCTTTTTAAGACTGATCATTCATTAATTCATTGTCGTCTTCCACTTGACATTTTCGCATAGCCAACAGAAAAACGTGGCTCTTTTGCTTTGCTACTATTAACAAGAAATTAGTAAATAATTTTACAATTACCCTTGATCCTCACTAGATTTTTTCAAATTATGGTTTACATTTTTTCTCCGTTTAATTACAGTGCATGACACAATATCTTCTCCACCCAGTCTACCGAAGACGTTGAAATCGAATGCCACTTATGTTAGTGTCCCAAATTTTCTTAAAAACAGACTTGAAAAGCTATGGAGGCAGCTTAAAGCTCCATTCATAAGCTCATTATCGACTCACCCAAGGATCGCTGAAATATTTGAATTACCCTCAAAAATGAGGCACGCGTGAAATAAGCGTAGAGAGTATTTAGTAATTAATGATGCGAATGTTCCTAGATCACTTGCTTAGCTCTTCCTTGACAGATCATTAGTTAAGTCCCATCAAGTCATTCAGCTTCTGCTAAATTTCAACGATACCCTCATTAAAGAGGAGTCAAGAAAGGCAGACATGTGAAATTCATTCTTTACCAAACATTTTACCATTGAGAATGATGCATTCCCTTCAATTCCTCCGTTGTCTGATGCCTGCCTCCCCACCATTAATTTTGCCCCTGCAAATATTCAGAAGCTAAAAAGTCGGCTTACTAGATCTCACTCAGTAAGAAGTGACAACATTTTAACCTCTCTTATAAAACAGATAGGAGATTTTCCTCCTCTGCTTAGCAAACTCTTTTCAGTCTTTTACCCAAAATAACTTCTTTCCCGACTTTTAGAAAACGTCTTTTACTATTGCAATATTTGAATCTGGCTGTCGTTCTGATGTTCAAAACAATCAAAGTGTCCATAAAACACCTTGTCAAAATCTTTGAAAAAAATTTCTCCAAGTGGTGTCATACAAGATACCGTTTTAGGTCCACTTTTGTTTCTGCTTTACATTTATGATATCTCGCCGGCAATAAAAGATTTGCAATCCTTCATTTATGCCGATGATCTCAAATGTGTATATTTATTCAATAGATTTACGTGCCTTCATTGCCTAGAGCAAATCCATGCTGACTTGCCTCCCCTTGCAGCATGGAGCTCAAAAGGCCTAATGGAATTCTCTACGTCTAATTGTAGTTCTATGTGTTTTGGACCTGATAGGCTATCCCAACCAGTGGTATTTCAAGGCACACCTAAGACTGGATGTACCAGAATCATGGATTTACGTTTATGCTACACCAATAATTCAGATTTCCCGCACCACACCGACAGAATTACCGCCAAAGCCGTCCAGATTTGCAGCTCTATTTCTTCCAGTTTCTATCTTCCTGAAAATGAATTTGTTAGGACAGCCC